GATTGCATGTTTGATCAATTTCAGATTGAAGAAGTTAGTAGAATTTTTCTATTTCATCCTCACTGGCTTTAGTAGTTGGTGCGTAAATTTGAATAATAGTGGTATTAACTGGGCTTCCCTGTAGGCACATGGATATTATCCTATCACAGACAGCGTTGTACCTCATGTCTGATCTGGATATGTTCCTTTTTGACAATGAATGCAACACCATTCTTCTTTAATTTGTCATTCCTGGCATAGTAAACCATGTGGCTGGTAGAGTCAAAATGGCCAATACCAGTCCATTTCAGCTCACTAATGCCTAAGATATCAATGTTTTTGTGCTCCATTTCATTTTTGACAATTTTAATTTTCCGAGATTCATACTTAGTAAGTTCTATTTTCTGATTATTAATGGATGTTTACAGCTGTTTCTTTTCATTTTGAGTTGTGCCCCCATCATCAAATGAAGGTCCCACGGGCTTTACTCCCATGGGCTTTACTCCATTCACGTCATGGTCAACTCTACTTTGAGGAGTCAGCTCTTCCCCAGTCGCATTTTGAGTGCCTTCCAAACTGAGGGGCTCATTTTCCAGCACTGTATCTGACAGTGTTTCTCTGCTAGTCTTAAGGTTTTCTGTGACTTAATATTTGGAAGTAGTTCATCATTCTTTTTTCCTAGTCTGTCTTCGTCTTGAATCTCATCTGGAACCTGTCCACCATGGGTTACCCTGCTGGTATTTAAAATACCAGTGCATAGCTTCCAGAATCACAGCAACTCACAAGCCACAACAGTAGGACAGACTGACAGATGAGTGGTGGTAGTAGACCATGTATGATTGTCCTACTCAAAATTGCTGGTATCAGTTCATTTCAACTTACTAGTATGTGGGATATTGACTTTCAATTGTTCCATTACATTTTTGGCAGACACTTCACATATTTTTCATTTTGATTGTTAATAGATGTTTGCAGGCCTTTCTTCTCATTTTAAGTCTTGCCAAATAAATAAATGAAGGTCTTGAAGGCTTACTCCATCCACATTATTAAGGTCGACTCTATTTTGAGAAGGTAGTTCTTCTCCCACTTGTATTTCAAGTGTGTACCAATTTGACAGGCTCATTTTTCAGCATATATCAGGCAATGTTCCTTTGTTACTCAAAAGGTTTTCACTGGCCAAGTTTTTACTTTTTTAAGAAGTGCATCACCAGGTCCTTCTTCCTAGTTCTGTCTTAGTCAAGGAATTCTGCTAGAGCTTGTCCACAATAAGTGACATTGCTGATATTGGAAGTATTGGTGCAAAGCTTTCAGCATCCCAGCCACATGCAAGCCACCACAGTCCAACAAACTGAGGAGCGGTGAATAAAAACACATAAAACAAAGCTTCCTTGTTCCTTTGTTGGCTTGAAAAATTACCTTCACTGTACTGTGTGATTTGAATATTGATAATACTCATTCCAATACTTTGGAACTCATTAAAATTTTTGTTTTCTAAATTAATAATGTTCAATATTATTGAATATTGTATATACTAAATTTCCAGCACAGTTTAGATATTGATGATACTCAATCTAGTATTTCAGGATTCATTTAAAACCTTTCTGAATATCTACATAACTAAAGAGAAATTGATTTTTTTGTTGTTGGTCAAATATAATTGTTCCCTTTGTCAGATTCACATAGTGTGCATGTTCACAGAACTTTAAATATATTCACAGTTGAGCTGGTGTTTCTTAAAACTTGTCTGATGCTTATGTTGACAAATGTCAGTGCAATGGTCATGCTGATGCCTGTAATACAGAGAGCCAACCACAGATGCATTTGCTCTCAGGAAAGCTTCACTGAAGGACGTCATGTGAGTTCTCTGTTTGATGCATGGAATTCTAAACTTTAAAAAAATAGCAACGTTGTTGTTGCTAAGTGCTGTCAAGTCAATTCCAACTCACCATGACCTTATATAGGATTTCTGAGGAGCGGCTGGTGGATTTGCACTGTTGACCTTTTGGTTAACAGTCTAGTGCTTATCTCCCAGTGCCACACCAGAGAAAAATAGAAATAGTAAATATAAATTCTATAAACTTAATTTTAGAATAGCTTCCAGGTATAAATAAACATAAATTAATATGATCCTAAAATGCCAATTATTTCCAACAGCAATTTTTGTCAAGAAAAATAAAAGCCGTCACTATAGTTGAAAGTTTATTTTTAACAGTCAACACAATCAGAGCAACTACAACTGAAATGAAATCTTGGGGTTTTCTTTCTTTTTCTTCCATTTTGTCTTTCATCAACATTATCACAATTGATAAAACAATTCTTATCGTTTTTAGATAGCATGACACTGAACAAAAAGTGGTCTTATTTCTCTATCTAAAGGATATGCAAGCATTGGTTTTCTATTAAGATGCAGGGAAATTATTAAGTATTGTCCTCAGTCAAGTGTATTTTAATGATGAACTCAGTAATTCACTTGGAAGTCTGTACTAAAATGATTTAGAAGTTATTTAAGTTTGACTATAATGGGCAGAGGAAATTTCATGTTGATTTTTAAATTTAGCTGTGTCTTTAGGAATAGGTGTAAATGGAAAAAAAGAGATTTGTTGATAGACATATCCAACATTAATATTAGCAATAGCTGATACAAAAGAGTCTACAGCAGTAGTAACAGTGGTACCAGTATAGAGTTTACAGTCAATGGTGTTTGAAGCAATTGGCTGCCAATTTGTAAGAAAATAAGGTTAGAGCCTCACCTTACAGCATGTACAAAAGTACAGGTGGCTATAAGATGTTAAATGTGAAAATAATGGTAAATCTGTTTAAAATGAAGTACTTAAAAAGCACAACAAATGACAATAAACAAATCAAGACACAGTATATCACATATTTTTTCCAGTTCTGTATATTGTAAAAACTAAGATATCTAAAGGATAGTGGCAGGCTATGGACTGATAAAAACTGTTTATATAATAGCAACCGATTTAGAGTAAAGATAATAAAGAATTTGTAAGACAAGAAAAATAAAACCACATAATAAACAAGCAATAAAAATTATTAACAGGCAATTTTCAGATAATCACATGATCATAATCAGTAAACACAATGAAAAGATATCCATCCTCACTTCAGGAAAGGGCGTTTTCAAAAAAAATAATTGTTTTTCATCTATCAAATGGGCAAAAATTTAAAGATTGATAACATTTAGGATTTCTGAGAAGATTAACTTCTAAAACTTTGTTAATGGGATGTAAATAGGTACAATATTTTAAGTGGGAATTTTGACCATATGTATTAAAGTTAAAACAGCAAATGTAGCTAATCCCATTATATAATTACTGTCATTCTAAAAAGTAATTATCCAAAGGCAAGCACAGTGGAATGGTATGTTTGTTTCATTTGTTGCATTAGCTTGGGTTTATATGTTAGTGCATCATAACTTTGAAAACAGCGGCACTGTGTCTTAGACTCATATATAATTTGTGAATACCTAGACCAAGTACTTTTAGATTTTGCTAGTCACTTCTGTTGAAGTTAATTTTAGGATATTATAGAACCTCATTTGTTTGTTTGTTTTAACAAATTATCTGCTAAAGTTTTTGTGAATTCAATTTCTGTCTTCTGGATTTTCAATCTGTTCTAATTTATTTTCCACTGCACATTAGTGTGTGCAGTTCAATAACAAGGATATGACTACAATGCAGGTATCCTTTGGCACATTGCATGATGTCCTGCTGCTCAGTTTCAAAGCAGAGTTTGACTTAGTTGCAGTCTTCTTTCTTTGTACATGCTCAAACCACAATGTTCATACTGTAATTCAGACATTGATTTGAATTCATTTCCCAGATCATTGCTTTATCACACTAGATCCTTTTGTTTGTGTGTTTATTCTTCAGTCTAGATCAATAATTCTTTTTAAAGAAATCATGTCATGTGTCCATGTTTTAATCTTTTGATTTCTAAATTTTAATCTTACATTTGGTTTCATGAATGTATCACGAAGAAAAATACTGTTTACAAGAATTGGCTTTAATTTGTTTGATTGTATGACCTATCATATTGTCACATATAGGAAATTAAGTAATTTGATTGATTCTTTTTGAAGCCATTATTATGTGTATGTGTGTATTTAGATTTTTGTCAATTCAATTTGCTTTAGAATTTAAAGTGAAGGTGACATATAATTCTAATTTTTCCTAGGGTCTTTGATTTTAATCATTTAAGATAGACGCTTCTTCCCTTTCCTTGTAATCAGTGATTAAAAAAAAATTAATCTAAAAATCTATTACTGTGTAGTCATTTCTCACCCACAGTGACCCCATGTACTACAGGATGTAACAGCTCCATAGGATTTCTTGACTATAATTTGAATGATCTATTGTGGCACTGTAGGATAAGCACTGGACTGTTAACTGTAAGGTTGACAGTTCAAACGTATCAGTCGATCCTCGGAAACCCTATCGAGGGTCATTACGAGTTGGAACTGATTTGAGGGCACTTAAAAACGAAAGCAATCCTAATGGGAGTGTTCTCCTAATTCTTTTCTTCCAAGGTACCACTAAACGGATTCGAACCACCAATCTTCATATTAGTAGTAAAGTACAACCCATTGGTGCAAACTACAGTTATTTTCATTAATCCATCTCACCCGACCCCAATTGCTGTTGTTGTTAAGTGCCGTCGAGTCGGTTCCGACCCATAGTGACCCTGCACAGGGTTTCCGAGGCTGCAAATCTTTACGGGAGCAGAAAGCCTCATCTTTCTCCCACGGAGCAGCTGGTAGTTTCGAACTTCTGACCTTGCAGTTCGCAGCTCGATTCGTAACCACTACGTTACTCAAAAGAAACAATTCAGCACCTAGTTTAAACAGTGCTCTTGCATCAATTCGGCAACTTAATCAGAATGTACCTAGTGTATGTGAACTGCAGTCTAATACTTTCATACCATAGCTGAGCTTTTCTTACTGTGTTCACTAGTCTCTCTCTTAATGTTTGTTTTTGGATTTTCTTTCTTTCTTTCTTTCTCTTTAATTGCTCACAGTTAAGTGTTTTATGTTGTACAATTCTTGGATGATTTTATGCTGCTCCTTAAAATAGAGCCATTAAGTGAATTAAAGCTCATGATTGGTCTCAAAAGTCAAGTTGGGATTTTCCGACCTGGTCTCAGGTGGTGACTGTTGGCTTATGAAGCAGAGAAATAATTACCTCTAATTTGGGCTTGGAATACATTTTAATGCTTCCAGTCCCACTTATTTAGATCATAAGTGCCTTTCAAAGGCAAAAGTGAAAAAGTTGATTTTATGTTATTTTCCTCCTCGACATGTTTTGATAATTTATTAATTTATTCTTAAATTTAAAAGCAACAGATAATATTCACTTAGCAAACTTTGGCATATTCAGCTGAAGGAAAAAAAAAAGGCAATAGACTGTTAAGTTGAATGATTTTTCAGTATGCTGAAAATGAAAAATTATTTTATAAAAGCATTTTATAAGCGTTACTCTCTTTTTGTTATAGTTCAAACTTTAGTAATACATGCAAACTTTAAAAGTTCATGGAAAATTGTAATCCAAGGATAATGGAATTTATCCATGAATTTTTTGAAGGTCACTAATTCATATGGGAAATCATGTGTCTGAGAAAATTTGTCTCAAAGTAATTTGAATATATACCTATTTTAAAGGAGCTCTTACCAGTAGTAAGTTAGAAGTCCGGCTGCTAACCTCAAGGTCAGCAGTTTGAAACTACTAGCTGTTCTGCAGGAGAAAGATGAGGCTTTCTGCTCCAGTAAGATTTACAACCTTGGAAACCGTATGAAGGGTCGCTATGAGTTGAAACTGACTCCACGCCACACCACCACCATGTATTTAAAAGAGCTTCACATTGTTTCACTTTAAAGAATAATAAGTCTTAACATGAGCCATTCATTTCCTATTGGAAGCACTGGTTCTTTTCAAAGACTTGGACATAATACAAAAAGAGTATTTTCAATTTCACAGTATTATGCTAACCATTAATAACATTACTCAATAAACAAGACTTTTGTGAATTATGTTACAGCCATTTGTCAAACAGCTGAAAACGTAAGACTTGAGAATATGCCAGTTCTTGGCAATTGCCGTTCCTGTGATAAAGTGCTTTTAGCAGAAGTAAAAATGAATTGAGAAAGCAATAGAATGGCGAATTCAGGAGCATGTTCATATAGGTAGCCATTCTAGGGCGTTTTCCTAATGTAGCATTATTCAATAATTTAAAAAGTTGATGTAACAAAATGGTGGTCCACAGGTGGGAATGGATTTTAAACAAATTTTAATTCAATTAGCAACAGGAAGTTTCACTTTTTCTTTTTGTTTTAATTTCTGGCTTCTCTTAAATAATAAGAAGGTAATACAACTCGGTGTCCCTTTTTCTTTATGACAACAACTGACTGACTCAATCTAGTAGTTACCTTCCTTAGAGCAGTATCACCATTTAATTTGCCACCATATTTACCACTAGCATCTTGGTTGTTGTTGTTAAGAGTCACAGCATGCATTCTGTCTCATAGTGACCTTGTATTGGGTTTCCAAGGAGCAACTGATGGGTTTGAACCACCAACTTTGTGATTAGTAATCCAGTACTTATCTTATAATGCCACACCAGGATTCCAGTATCTTGGCCTCACCAAACACTTATTCCCTGCTGGGTCTGGGTTTGAGGGTAGGAGAAGATACTGATAGGAAGACATGATTCAGCTGTGGATATTAGCAGAGTTAATTGTTAACTGTAAACACTTGAACTCAAGCATGGTTTTAAAATGCGCTATCTCAGAAGCAGGAGGAAGGATTTCACTATCATCAAAGAAGACGAGCCAGAAGGGGAGTG